GTTCAGATTGAGGAGCAGAAGATAACTTGTGTAGCACATAACTGTAAAGAAAAGCAGCAACAGAAGAAGGCTAAGGAAGCTTCACATCTAGTGGTTTCTGAATCTGCGGGAGAAGCAAGATTTATAAAGCCTTTGGAGCAATCCTCAAGGGTGGAATTGTTGTCTGAAGAAATGGAAAAGGGAAATCTCAGCTTGAGGGGTTTCAACAAGCTGAGAGGAAGGGGCAGAGGACAACTCGTGCAACATATAATTGTAAAGACCAACAGAATAAGGAGTTTAAGGAATCCTCACATATATTGGCTTCGGAGTCGTTGGGAGATTTAGGAACTTTGGAGCAATCTTTAAAGGCAGATCTTAAAGCATTTCTCTCGAGCTTGATAAGGATAAGGACGGAGAATGAAAATTAGAGATTGATAAGGATGGAGAATGAAAATGGACAATTGAGACTGATAATAATATCAGTATGATAAGGATGGAGAATGAAAATGGACAATTGAGACTGATAAGGACTGTGTTTCTTGTGGATGGAATTTGTTATTGGTGAAGATTTAAATGTTTAATGTGTTTATTGTGAATGGAATTTGTTATTGATAAAGATTTAAATATGTATAAGGGAATTTTAATGTTTTAAGTCTTAAGTAATGTTTAAATTTGTGTTTTGGAGGGAGTTTATAAAGAATGATAATGATATTAGTATGATATCAAAAGGTTTGGAGTATACTACAATGTGTTTAGTGTTGGGTTTTTTTTAATTATTATTATTTTTAAGATGGAATTTGATTAAATGCGTATAAGGGGATTCTAATGTTTTATTCTAATGTTTTAAGTTTTAAGTAATGTTTAAATTTGTGTTTTGGAGGGAGTATAACTTGTTTAACTAAATGTATTCAGATTTGTTTATGATTTATATTAGATTTTATATTGTAGGTATAGATGTTCAAAGAAAGTAGTGTTTAAAATTGTGTTTTGGAAGGAGTTTATATAGAATGATGGATAATATTATAAGTATGATTAGAAGATGTTTAGAGTATATTATAATGTGTTTAATGATTCTAATTACTATTTTTTTAGAGAAGATAATCTATTTAATTTAAGGTATTTAGATTTGTTTTGGATTTATATGTTTTTTAAGTTTTTCTTTTCTTTTTTTTGAAACATTTTGGACAAGCCTGTAATCAACTCTGGGAGGGCTAGGGGAGGGTTAGGGAGGTTTGGGGAGCTGGGGGAGGGTATGGGAGGGTGGGTTTGGGGAGGGGTTTTGTTTTGTAAAATTTAAAAAACTTTCAATTAAAAAAAAAAAGGGCATTCCAGAAGAAAGAAAGGACAAAGCACTTCTATGTTGAAAACTGAAAGGCACCTGATAAATTACTGAGTTAGGTGGGTCCTCTTTAAGTAGTTCATTAGTCTGACAATCTTTATAAATTGAGATAAAAAGTTTCTCATGATAGAATAGATATCTAGTCATATATATATGACACATATACACACATATACACACATGTACATATACATACATACATATATACATACATACATATACACACACATACATATATATACGTAGTCTGTGTGTGTATATAAATATGTGGTCTTATTTAGAAAAAAATAAAAATAGTATTTAATATTTCTACAGAATGCTAGTTATTTGAATCAAAGTAATCTATTAGGAGAAATACTACTAATCCAGGTAAGAAATGGTGTTTAGAAATGCATAAACATATCCTTAATAGTAATGACTGCATTATTGTGTTAATTTTTCAGTAAAGAAATATTTACATTCTTCAACTTAAAGAAAAATGCTATTTACTTTTACAGGATTTTGCTTTGTAATTTAAGGAATTGTATTTTTTATATTGTATCAACTTATATTCCTTAGAAAAAATAGATCATAATTATGGTATTATCTTAGTCCTTTTACAAAGGGGAACATTATAGTAAAATTTCAAGATTGTTATGGTCTTTTTAATGTATAGCTGCTGTTATACAATTCTGTTTCTTTGAAAGTGGTAACATTCTGCTTTATTGTTTATAGAACTAGAGATAATTTGATTGCCTTGAGAGTATATAGCACAGGTTGGCAACCTGCGGCTCCGGAGCCGCATGCGGCTCTTTGAGCCTTCCCCTGTGGCTCCCAACCTCCTCTGCCATTTGCAGAGACAGAGAGAGGCAATTGTGCTTCCCTGCTTCTCTCTGTCTCTCTCTCTCTCTGTGTTTGTGTCTGTGTGTCTGTGTATATGTATGTGTAAAAGAGAGTGCACTCACAGTGTTCTCCGAGGAGCTGAAAAGCTTATTGGGCGGAACTCCTCCCTTTGCTGCGTCTCTGCAGGAAGCAGGAAGGGCAGGAGAGAGCTAGCTAGCTCAGCTATGCTGACTCAGGAATTCTGGGAGTTGAAGTCCATGAATCATAAAAGAGCCGAGGTTGCCTACCCCTGAGCTTGTTGGAGAACAGCTTGAAGCCAGCTTGCCAGGTGAGCATAAGATCAGAGGGAGGGAGAGAGGGGGGGAGAGAAAGAGAGAGAGAAAGAGAGAGAGGGAGGGAGAGAGAGAGAGAGAGAGAGAAAGAAAGAGAGTGGGGGAAGAGGACTGGCAGACCAAGGGCAGAAAGAGAGAGAGGGAGGGAGGGAGACAGAGAGAGACCCTTTTGACATCTAAAATGAAGATAACACTGCATATATCCTTTTTACACACACACACACACACACACACACACGTCTACCTATAATAAAGGTAAAAAAGGATATATGCAGTGTTATCTTCATTTTAGTTATCAAAAGGGTTTTGCGGCTCCCAGTGTTTTGTTTTCGGTGGGAAACGGGTCCAAGTGGCTCTTTGAGTGTTTTGGGTTGCTTACCCCTGTGCTAGAGAAACCTTCACCAATCTAGTGCTTATTTAGGATCTCAAGTCCCATAATTCCCAGCAAACATGCTGGACAACTACAACAAAGGAGCCAGATTGACTGCATTTCCTGGAGCTTCACAGCTTAATATTTTGAAGCTTATTCATAATGAGAACTGATATTGCCAATTTACCAGAAGAGTATTAGATTGAAATTTTACAAAAAAAAAAGTCAAGAACTGCAATGAAGCTATTTAAGTGTACAGTAATATATATTTTAAAATGTAACCATACAAACAAGAGAAAATAGATGTACCAATGCAATAGAACAAGCTTGCTCTTTTTAATGCATAGACTACAAAGCCAATGGATGACCATTCATTTCATGTATTCTGTACCACAAAATGAATAAAATAGAGATAGCAAAATTGTCATTTCAACACTTGGATTGTAGAGGTCAGGCAAACAATAGAAATTAGAGGGAAAAAAGAGTTCTGTTATGCTCAGTCTGGATCTGAAGTTCTAAACTCTGAATCGAGTTTAACAGGATACAATTTGTGCATTGACATAATATGCAATATCAAAATTTTATGATTTAATGGCTGGTTCATTCAACATACCAAGACAATAAATAAATAAAACACATTTAACATATTGTATGAACTCAGCCATTTCATCTGTGTAAATGTTTTTAAAGCGGTTAAATTTGAATGTGCCAATTTAAAATTCTCTGCATCCTACATGCTCTCTACTGTAAAACTAATTCCTTGCCTAATTACATGTAATAACTACTCTCCATATTTCAGCTTCCAGTCTTCAGAGTACAGATACTTTCAGAAATCACACCTAGCATTATTCATTACAATGGTACCGTAAAAACAAAAGAAAACATTCTTTTGGGGAATTGTTCATGACTCTATTTAAATTACTGTCCTACTGACTTGTTTTCATGAGTCTCTGATTTTGACAGTGTACTTATCTGAGAAATGCAAGGAAGCAGAAAGGCTCCAAATTAAACCAGATGGACTCCACACTGTTCTTCCTTCTGAATTTCATAACTGATAATTATTATCTCAGCAGTTCTTACCACTATCCATGAATGTACAGTAATCCCGGACTGATATCAATCTCTATATTATATGCAAAAAGATGAACAATGCCAAACAGGGGCTCTTGGAAGTCCAAGCATCAAATGGATGAAGACTCTTATCCTTTACCTCCCTATTCATATCCTCCATTCTGCCTGATATAAACTGTAGGTTTACTGTATATTAGTTTGGACCACACCCATGCAGAATAGAGTAGGTCCGCTATTTGAAATGATCAGGGGACTCAATACTTATAATTCAAGACAGTAAATAATCCCAAGAATGATTTCAGTCCTTCCCGACAAACCCTCTATCAGAAAGGATCACTGACATGAATCCCCCCCAAACCGGGGGGGGGACACAAAAATACGGGGATCAGTTGCAGTGAGAAGAAAAGAACCTCACAGGCTCAAATATGCATGCTAATCAGACCGAACGGTACGTTTCCAAACTAGAGAAAAATATGCTGAATGGAGCACTCTCCGGCATCTTCTAGGTCGAGGCCCGCAATGCTAATTCTCCCATTTGGGTTTCATCATTCGTGGCTTTGACAAACACTCTGAATTCGTAAGTGGGAAAATCCTTCCTTCCTTCTTTCCTTCCTTCCCTTCTAGCAGACCTTGAATATTTTTCTTCAAACATGCAATCGGTTGTCTCAAAACTCACTTTGCAACATTGACTGCAACTCTGCCTCCGCCAATACATGGCAAGCGTAACTATAAATTGCCGTCAAATTTCTCCAACGCTGGAATGACCTTCTTTGCATGGCGACCCAATCTAACTTTATAATTTTTCCCTCACTCTCAGCGTGTCAAGGAATAGTTCCGGCGAGGGGGAAGAATCCCCGCTCGAAGGTTCCTATTAGCTGACGTGGCAAGGAAAGCCTGTGCGATCGGCTATTCTAAAGAGCCAATTCAGCGGCTGAGCTTGCTACGGTCATGGGATGCAGAAGCATCTGCAGACGTTTTGGTTTAGTGATAGACTTTGTAAGTAATCTCTGTAAAAGTATCAGTTGAGAAGAATTGCGGAGATTTTAAAGGTGAAGCAAGGGAAAGAAGTAGTTTCTAAGTCAGGATAGAGAAACGATGTATAAAATGAACTTTGTCTCTGAGAAAACTTTACAGTTTCTTTTGGGGTGAGGGAGGAAGAAGAAAGAAAATAATTATTTCTTGTAATGTTTGTTTACAATCATGTGTGGATCCAGTTTTGTTCCAGCTAAGAATTAGCCCTGGGTAAGATTATGTTCAGTTTATCTTCAGTGGTGATCTGCATGGTGATCTACCTCCCGTTAGATATTTCTGTGATTAAAAATGTCTACAGCTCAAGATAATGTGAACTTAATGTGCAAGATGGCACATTTAGTTCTAAGTTGTGTCCAGTCTTGAAATACTTTCAGTTGCTGTACTATGTGATAGAAAAAAATACATTATCACCCAAACAATGAAAATCTGAATTAAATTTTTTTCTGCACCTCCATAACTTACTAACCATGTAATTCAGAGTCAGTTTAATGTGAAATCATCAAACATTTTGGCTGGGAAACAAAAAAATTGTCTCAGTACCCCATAGTATGTCCTCTGCGTCTGATGTAATTAACTGGACTCCTGGATTCATTCTCTTTTTTCATTCTCTTTTCCCCCATTGATTCCATAAAGGCAAGTTGCTATCTTCTCCCAGTCACTGTCTTTCATACTCCTCTTCTGCTATATCTACACCTTGAGGACACCTGTTCCACCTGGCTAGAACTCACTAGGTTTTACCTGGCCAGTATTAAGTTTTAAATTTAGAATAGCTTTTGGAACAAACCTGAGCATCTTGAAACAACTTGCTCCAAGCCATTCATCTTTCATTATAAAAACCCAAGAATATTTGGCTCTCATGTAGAAAAGGTTCCTGAAGATGGGTGGGAAGGGGGAAAAAGTGACCCAACTTTGCTGAGCAACTTCCCCTGTATTATATTTTTAAATGAATTTCATTCTAGTCTACATGCATTTTAAGTGATGCAAAATGCACTAAATATTTAGTTTGTTTGGAAGGATCCAATGTATTGTTTACAAAGGCTTAAGGTGCCCTTTGCTCTGCTCAGTCAGGATTATTGCATTGTCTAGGACTTTGACACCAGGAAAAAACTGAGAGTGCTCATCTACGGTGGGTAGAAACTTGGTCAGGTATCCACCCATGTGACAAATGGACTTTGACAGCTGTCTTGGAGACGGGCAAGTACCACTGCAGCTAAGCTGAAAGAACTGGAGCTGGTGGTCACATTTCTAATAAAGGTATGTGCATTTGGAAGTAGGAGTGTTGTGGGTGTATAGACATAAGATAGCATTGTTCACTCAAGTTGTCCTGGAGTTATCCTGTAGCATCTTTCATTTTACCTGAATTTTTTTCTTTCTCTTTTGGTGTGTAAATGAAATAGGTTTCACCATACAAAAATATTAAAGTTGCACGAAGACAGGTTTGATAGAGAGGGTTGTAATCAATAAAATGTGTTGTCAGATGTTGGTACAATATCACTCCCTGCTGGTTTGGCAGTGTGATTGACTGATGTACACAGCTGGTCTGTGTATCTGTATGAATCTTTTAAAAATGGACTTAAGAGACCAGAAAGAGCTCAAGTTTATTCAGCCTTTAGGGAACTGTTACAGTTCTTTTCAATAATAGCAGAAACATTAAACTGTATGCCAGAAAATAATCCATTATTACTAAATAATGAAAGTATTTATTAAGCCACTGTTTTCTGGTAAACCAAGCAGGATTTGTTGTATAATTTTGAAATAATGTATGTTGATTGGCCTGATTATAACTTTTTATTTTCATCTAGCATCAAAGTTACCAACGTTAAATATCAATTAGTGTGAAAGCTAATTGCAGTATTAAAAACTTGTAAGAATTCTGTGTCTAAGGCATAAACTTGTTTCTTTAATAGTAACTTCATGCATTTTCTGTCAAACTACAAAGAGATGAATAAACATTAACAATCTCATATATTCTCTTTTCCAAAGGGGGAAAAGGTTTTTTAAAAATCCTAATTTGTAAAAAAGTTATAGATATGCCTCTAGACCATAGCAAGAATAGTCTTCCCTGGAGCCTTTCTAGACCTATAACATGAAGGCAAAAGCCTTTACAGTTTGGCTATAAATATTTGGAAGAATGTTTCTTTTCATTGAACCTACTGCCTTTTGATTGTTTTTATATTTATAGGAAACTGAAGACATTTAGATATTGAACAAAATCTAAATAAAAATAGATTTTTAATAAAAAGTCCTGAATGGACTCATGGTTGCCACCAAGACAGCCCCAGGGCCAAGGGAGTCATGCAGTCTGGTTTGAAGGATATGGAAGGAGCCCACGGAGGGAAGTCTACCATGGCCCTCCACCTCCACATTTCAGGCATGAAGAATACCATCCTGATTTCCAAGTAGGACCTCAGCCTTGGCTAGATACTCAGCACCACTATCCCATCCATCATCCAAGGCTCCAGAACTATATGAGACCAAACTCCAGGGCAGAGTATTACAAAAGCAGCTTTTCAGACTGGTCTTACACAAGGTAAAGCTCACATAAAAAATAAGGAATAACAATGTTGGGAAATGAAATAGACAGGCTATGATTTCAGCTGGTTCTAAATCATAGTCTAAAGAAACAAAATCCTCTGATTTCAGAAATTATGGGAAAGTGTGTTTTGAATCTTTTCCTCTCATATCTCTATAGACTGCAGAGCCCTGCATGGAGTCCTGAATAAGGCCAAGTGCCACATGATAATCTTAATTTTGACCTTTTGGATCCTGCAGTGTGGCTGAGCAGTAACATCCACGCAAAATCTATTTACTTAGCCGCCTTGTCATGTTTAGCTTTTCCTGATCCTCTGGAAGCAATTGCAAGATTGAGGGGTCCTACAGCTTTCAACTTGGCTTCCCCTGGTGCTTTAATCTTTATATCTGGACTTAAAACCTTTGTTGACAACCCCACCACCACTTAATTTTGGTCATAGACTGACTGGAATTGTGGCTTCCCTGGCTTGTATATTGCTTAATATGTAATTTATTGTATGTTGTCATGCTTCCCTGACCTACATACTGTATAATGCTTAATATACAGTATATATTTAGTATGTTTTATATTAGAGTTTTACAGCTTTCTAGCAGAAAAATAAGCCCAAAAAATAAGCACACATTCAAAATGAGCAGGAGGCATAGTTTAGAAAAACTTTATAATATATATATAAATATGATACATACAGTTTCATTCAGCTCTGGGGAATATCAACAACTAACTCAGGAGATCAGGACACAGGGAAAGACTAAGATACCCCCAGACCTAGGCTGGATCACATGCTTCACACAGCCAATACTGTGTCTTAATCAAAACAGTTCTCATTGGCTGGTTTGCTATGGCTATTCCAGTTCATACATTCTTACACACTGATATTTTATGGTCTAGACTCTAGCTTATCTATTCTTTGCATTGAAAACAATGCATTATATATATTATTTAGATTTGCCTGCACTTGTACTGTTTGCCTGCTATTCCACATCCTTCAATTTGTCCCATCTTTTTGTTAGTGCTGCCGCAAGGTAGATGGACTTACAATGGTGATTGTGTGCATCATGGGAAGATGTGGAGGACCAGGTTAGAGATAGATCATCATGGAGAAGATCACTAGGAGTTGAAAATGACTTGCTGGCACATTAATCAAAATAATATGTACTAATTCCAACTATTTTATTTCCTTCATCAAAAAGATATAGAAAGCCCACTAAAGCAGATTTTTCTGCCTCTTACTTAGCTCATAACTTTTGGGGTTACTTTTCAGGCAAGGATATGAAGAGCTGCACCGTGGCTTTGTGGAGGATCATGAAGCATATCAAAGATTCACCCAAGTACATCCAAGCAAAAGAGGTACTGCATTCCCCATAGAATAAATAGCTGAGAACATTATGGAGCTAAAATATCTTTCTCTGGTCTGGTGCCTTCTGGGCTAAAACAATTTATAATTTCCAACTAGCACAGGCAAAGGCCAATTTATATAGGAATAATGGATATTGGGGAATGAAGTAAACTAATAGGGTGTGCTTGTATTTATGTGTGTTATAGGAAGTCATTTGTAAGCAATTTTTTTATTCTTTATGCATCCTTTGTATCTTAGTATAATGAGGGACTGAAGTTTAGAATGGTTAGAGTTGAATGTCCTCCTGAAAAGGAGAGAACAGGCCTGTGAAACTGCAACACTTAAGTATTTGTAACTTACTACAGTATACTAACATTTTGAGACTAAGGAAGCAGCCAGTGTAGTATATTGCTTATGGTCTAGGGACTAGAAGACTAGAGAGGATTAGAGAGACTCAGGTTCAAGTCTATCCTTGGCCATGAAATTCACTTGGCAACTTTGAGCCATTCACTTAGCCCAACCTAACAAGGATATTCTTGTAGAGAAAACTTGGTAGAAAGTGTCAAATACACTATCCTCAAGTTTGTAAAAACTGGGAATGTAATGTGATACCCCAAAATATTTCAGTATCCTATCTTGATCACAGTCTCAAAACCTTCCTGGGATCACATGTTAAATCCAAAATGCTATTTCAGTTCTGTGGCCCCATTTGTAGGATTAAATAACTCACATTTCTGTCTCTCTTTCTCTTTTCCTCCCCCTTTATTTATCTTTTTTGTAATATATTTTATTGATTTTTTAAAAACATAAATCACTTAATAATTGGTGAACGGTGTGTTGTCTGGGCTTACATTTGTAAAACAATCACTAACAATTGATTTCTATAATCCATAATCTACATAATGGTTTTAGTTGATTTCCTCTTTCCCCAAAATATCCTCTTTTGCAAACATTGAGTTGATACAATTCTTGTTGTTTTGATAGATAACAATTAAATATATAATTTTCCCCAATATTCCTAAAATAATAATCACATCAATATAATATTTCTTTTCTATCCAATCATTCTGGTTACCTTATCATAGATCCTGTTACAGTCCTTATTTTAATTTGTTTCTCCCACCAAATTCTAGGAGTTTTTTACTGGTTAAGATTTTCTCAAAAATTAATTACATTTAAAAATTTAACTCTATTTTTCATGTGAACCATCTCACACTTTAACATTTCTTAAGGAATAGATAAAACAGTGAAAAAAAAGAAAGAACAAGAGTAAAGAAACAAAAAATAATATGCTATTTAAAATATATATCCCTTCTAAGCTAATATATATTTCCTAAATTTCTTATTCTTTTTAACCATAATTCAAATTATGTTTAATCTTTAAACATTCCATTTAATATATCTAGTCATCTAGTCCTTTAACTCTTATTCAAAGCATTGTTTTTATCCATTATAATTTTCTTAAATTCAATCACATTTAAATATTTAAAACATTTCCTTTATCTAAGTCATTTCAACTTTTTTATATTACTTATATCAAGAAAGAGAACAAAAAAGGGAAAAAACATACTATATTATTTAAGGAATTCATCCCTCTTAGAATTACATATATATTCCAAAACTTTTCTATTTCTTTAACCATATTCAAACAAATGTTTCTTTTTTAGGTATTCTCTCTGGTAAGCCCCATCGTCTATTTTCTTGGTTTCCACTTTAGTCTTTTTCCTTTGCCCAGTATCTTTCTTAATCAATGTATTTTGCTGAATCAAAAAGTTTTTCCGTATGTTTGTAAATGTTGCTGTAGATATAAAAAGTAAATCAGGAGAAGTGTCTTTGTATGGGGCTTCTGCCTTTCCATGTTTGTTGAAAATCTTTATCTTTTTCTTTCTCTCTACTTCTCTTATGATTTCCTTTCTCTCCGATGTTCCTAACATCTCTACAGTCCATTTTATCCAATCTGTTTTCTATCCTCAGATTTATTTTGTAGTCTTAAGGGATAAGTTGTTTTTTCCAATTCTTGTGAATTTTTTTCCCTCTAGGATTAAATCATGTTTCCTTGTTTTGTTAAGTTCCATCTTTAAGTCTCTATTCTCAATTCTATATCCATTTATCTGTTTTATCTGCTCCTTCTCTGTTGTTGTTTTCTGGGAATTTTTTTGTTGTAGAGTTAACTTGGAAATAGATTGATTTATATTTTCAAAGTTATTTTGGATTTCTTTGTGGTTTAAAGTCATTGTTGTTTGAATTAGTTGCAATATACTTTATATCTCATCCTGTGAAGTATTTATGTTTTCTTGATATGTTCTTTCTACATGTCTCTGATCCATGATGGCCAAGAATTTGAGTTTTTCTCTTCCTTCCTTTTCTCTGCAAATAGCTATGAGTCCCAATTGAATAGATATTTGTAATCCAAATAGTTAAAAAAAGATTTTTTTCCTGAAATTTATAATTCTTTGTCTACAGCCCAGATTATTGTCTTTTTTGTCACAGCTGTTCTTTGTTGTTAAAACTTTGAAGGTCACAAACACAGAGTAGCTTTTCCCAGGTTTTACCAAGTCTTATATTAAAGTCATAGCTGTCATAGTCTTTATCCACCACTAAGTGTCAGGAACTATTTGTTTTTCAATTTCCAAAATAAACAATTATCTTTAGAATGAGAATCTTAACCATTCAAACAATTTTAGATTTATCCAGATTTAAGTTTTAAATTTCAGGTTTTATATTTATTTCATTTCAATATATTTTGATCCTCCATAAAAAGATTAATTCGCAGCTTCGGATAGTATAAGGGTGGGGCGGAAATCCCCCTCCTTCCCTTTCGGAGGTATTTTGCTTCTTGGGGATCTTTTCCAGGAAATTAAATGTAGAACAGAAAAGATAAGATCGAATTCCTCACCTAGTTTCAAGCACGCTGTTCACAGTTGTGCTGGTTAGTGCTTTTGGACTTCGGTTGCTAGTAGCTTAGGCTGGTCGATGCAATATGGCCAGCCTTTCTCCTGTTGGGTTAGAAGGCTTTCCCCAAGTTGAACAGAGTGGCCGCTGCTGTTCCAGAATCACTGGAGCATCCTTCTTTCTTCATTGCCTCTCTGGGGCGACTTAGACCCATTTAGGGTCTCCTGGCAGTGCGAAATTAGCCGTGGGGGTGCGGAGAATCCGCAAGCCCATGACCAGTCGCTACCGCGCAAAACCGGAAGTTTTCTCCTCCCCCTTCAGCTTAGCCTTAGAACTATATATCATTCCAACCTCATCCTCCTTTCTATTGTTTCCCCTGTTTTTCTCAAAGTATTTCAGCTGCAAGAAGCATGGATGCTATTTTCTTCATTAATTTCTATTTCCCCTTGAGACTGTGAAAAACCACAGGCAGCACTACTTACTCCTAAGCTCAATTATAGAGAACCTTGGGCCAAAGTTTTACACACAAACACATACATACATAGACACATACACCTACATTTCATTTCATTTCTAATGCATGTGTTTAAAAAAATTAGCTGTGCTATAGCTGGATTATAAATATCTGGACAACCTGTAGATGGAAGTAGTGAGATGCTGTAAACCAGCAGCACCCAACCTTTGGGGCATCAGGGACCAGTTCCACAGATGGGGGGGCGTGGTTTCATGTGCTGCCTGCATCCTATGAATGGAGATTCACTTGTTTGCATGCTACGGCCCACTTTCGGTCCATTGCCCAAGGGTTGGGGACACCTGCTGTAAACCTTCCATCATATAGTTTTTAAGCTTTTTGCATCCCAAATACGATGGTTCTTAAAAGCAAAAGCTACCAGTCCCTGCAATTTTCTTGGCAAATTTTTTCAGAAGATGGCCATTGACTCCTTCCTAGGGCTGAGAGAGAGTGACTGGGCCAAGGTCACCCACCTGGCTTTGTGCCTAAGGCCGGCAAAGAACTCATGATGTCTTGGTTTCTAGCTTGATGTCTTAACACTGCACCAAATTATATTATAATTTGGTTTAAATAAGGAAACATTCCTGCAATGGTGATTTGCTAAAAGAAGGAAGAGAGCAAGTAGGAGTCCTATAACCCTAGCCAGTATTTGGAAAAATTACTATCGTATAACTCAACCATTTCATTTCTCTTAATTGTTTCTCAGCTTCATGCGGTTTACCTGCAATCCTTTCCCATCCCCTCCCCCCCAGGTAAATAATTGGCATTATCTAATCTGTTCCAGTAGAGCAAGAGCATAGTTCAATTGTGTAGTCTAAGGAGAATGACATTCAATTCCTCTACGCCTAATTCTGACTAGTTTTTCATTCTTAATGCATCCAAGAAGATTTATTTGTTTATATTTACTTTGTACAGATCCAAGATGGAGAGATAACTGGAATGAAAGTGCAAATTCCTGGAACCAGAATTATTATAGAGATTGCCAACCTAGGGATGGTAACAACTCTTTGGGGCATTATGATGTTGTACTAACTCAGTAAGTAAAACTCTTAAAAGACAATGTTTAACACTGTCCATATCCAGTTATTCTTAATACTATTGGATCAACTGGTGGCTTCCATATTTATTGACAAAATCTCTGGCCATGATCACTGGCAGGCCAGGTTGAGGACAGAGTTGTGGATGTTATACCAATCTCTGCCTTTTCTTTAGTGTTTATGTGTATATGTGTACCCTCTCGAAACCACTGGAAATATTTTAGATTTTTCCAAGCTGAGATACTGTATGTGAGAAGATGTGTTCATCTTTCAATTTTTCATGCATAGAACTTCTATGCATTATTTTAGGGAACTTCTAAGACAGGGGTCCCCAACCTCTGGTCCATAGGCTGGTACTGGATTGTGGCATGCCGGCAACTGGTTCGCACAAACAAACTAGGCCCCATCTATGGGATGCAGGCAGCACACAAAACCACACCCTCTCCGGTCGCCATGAAACCGGTCCCTGGTGCCCAAAAGGTTGGGGGCTCTATTCTAAGATAATTACTTACGATCACAATTGAACCCAAAATTTATGTTGCTAAGTGAAAGATTTGTTAAATGAGTTTTGCTCCATTTTACGACCTTTCTTGCCACAGTTGTTATGTGGATCACTTAAATTCGTAACACGATTGTTAAGTGAATCTGCTTTCTCCATTGACTTTGCATATCAGAAGGTCACAAAAGCTGTTCACATGACCCTGGGACACTGCAACTGTCATAAATATGAATCAGTTGCCAAGTATCTGCATTTTTATCACAGGACCGTGGCGATGCTCCAATGGTCATAAGTGTGAAAAACTGTCATAAGTCACTATTTTCAGTGCCATTGTAATTTTGAATGGTCATTAAACAAACTGTTGTAAGTCAAGGATTACCTGTATATGGAGAACGAAGGTATTGAACATACCTTGAGTGCTTATCAGTGCATTGCATGTATCTCCTATTGGTGGGTTATGGCAAAAGTATGCTGGCTTGCAAGGTCATTTAGATTAGAACCCAGTACTATACTGTGAGCACACTATAGTATTAGGTTGAAATACTGTACTGAGGGCAAAATTGAGCTTTGGCTGAAATGGTGATTTGTGAGTATCTGCTTATATAAATGTTTGTTTTGAGTGCTTAGTGTAAATGTACAGTAGTGGCCAAAATTGTGGAAACCTTTTGGGAAAAGGGTACAGTAGAAATGCCACCTTTGATTACGTTTTCACCAATTTTTCTTCTAATTTCTTATAACTGTAGCCTTGTTCACTTAATAATACTATTTTACATTGCTTTCTGGGCAACCAGTCAACTCTTTGCAGCATTACTTTAATTTTATTACGTTTTACAAGCTCACTAAATGAAAGAACACAAAAAAACCCCCAACCAACTTGATAGCGATCATATAACACATTGACAAATGTCTTCTTCTCAGCTTCAATACATAACATCAATAATTGAATCCTACTGTGATCTGATTGGCTCATTGCCAAAACAAGATGACACCTAATTGGCTCTCTAAACACTCATGCTCATTGGCTACAATCAGATGAAGGAAAGCTATCTGATATCAACCTAAGCAAGTTGTGCTTCCTTTTTCTGGTTATTTGGCTATAACTTTTCATAGAATACAGTACAGATAATTGAACAAACTTTGTTGCATTACATTCTTGATTAAATTATCTTTCCATTGATATATAATTTTATGGTTGTTGTTGTTAATAGCGAAGTCGTGTCCGACCCATCGCGATCCCATGGACAACATTCCTCCAGGTCTTCCTGTCTTCTACCATCTTCTGGAGTCCATTTAAGTTCACACCTACTGCTTCAGTGACTCCATCCAGCCATCTCATTCTCTGTCATCCCTTTCTTCTATTGCCCTCAATCTTTCCCAGCATTAGGCCCTTCTTCAGTGAGTCCTTCCTTCTCATTAGGTGGCCAAAGTATTTGAGTTTCAACTTCAGGATCTGGCCTTCTAAAGAGCAGTCGGGGTTGATCTCTTCTAGGACTGACCAGTTTGAATGCCCTTGCAGTCCAAGGGACTCGCAGGAGTCTTCTCCAGCACCATAGTTCAAAGGCCTCAATTCTTTGGCGCTCAGCCTTTCTTATGGTCCAACTTTCACAGCCATACATTGCAACTGGGAAAACCATGGCCTGGACTATACGCACTTTTGTTGGCAGGGTGATGTCTCTGCTTTTTAGTATGCTGTCTAGATTTGCCATAGCTTTCCTCCCCAGGAGCAAGCGTCTTTTAATTTCTTGGCTGCAGTCCCCATCTGAGGTGATCTTGGAGCCCAGAAAAATAAAATCTGTCACTGCCTCCATTTCTTCCCCATCTATTTGCCAGGAATTGAGAGGGCCGGATGCCATGATTTTGGTTTTCTTAATGTTGAATTTCAAGCCAACTTTTGCACTCTCGTTCTTCACCCGCATCAAGAGGCTCTTTAGTTCCTCTTCACTTTCTGCCATTAGAGTAGTATCATCTGCATATCTGAGGTTGTTGATATTTCTCCCGGCAATCTTAATTCCCACTTTTATTTCATCTAGCCCTGCCTTTCTCATGATGTGCTCTGCATATAAGTTAAATAGGCAGGGCGACAGTATACAGCCTTGCCGGACTCCTTTTCCAATTTTGAACCAATCAGTGGTTCCGTGTCCAGTTCTCAATGTTGCTTCTTGGCCCGCATACAGGTTTCTCAAGAGACAAATAAGATGGTCTGGTATTCCCCTCTCTTTAAGAACTTGCCACAATTTGTTGTGATCCACACAATCAAAGGCTTTAGCATAGTCAGTGAAGCAGAAGTAGATGTTTTTCTGGAACTCCCTAGCTTTCTCCATGATCCAGCGTATGTTGGCAATTTGATCTCTAGTTCCTCTGCCTCTTCGAAATCCTGCCTGTACTTATGGTACTACTCCAAAAAAAAGTGGTGTTATTAGCCATCAAACCTCAAAAATATACTTTCTCCAAAAGGTTTCCACACTTTTGGCCACCGCTGTAAGTCTGTTCATGCATGCATAAAAATGAATTGAAAAGCATGATTGATTTTTACAGTTAAAGATTGAGAGTATCATACAAGGATTATGAGAGATTCTGAATGTGAACCAGATTATTTTTATACAGTACCAAGAATTGGATTTTAGAGAATAAAGGGCACATAAAGAAAGGAAATAATTGGAAAAAATCAAAGTGGAAGGACTGTAGGAAGAGAAAATAGAGTCCTGCTTGGAAAAGTCTTAGAAGATAAATGTATTTTCCAACAGAATAAATGAGAAGTATGTAAAAAGAAAGAGGACATGGAAGCTGCTCGGAGCATGTAACAGAGCAATGTAGAAAATTGTAGGGTTATATTAAAGGAAATAAAAACACATTACAGAGGTAAAAGAACTATGGATTAGGAAAATGCACACAAACACAAATTTGTGGCAAAAATGAGCCAGATAGAAAGATATTTTATAAAGTGTATATGGAGAAAAACAATATAGTATGTGTTCAACGAGAGCAGGATATGCTTAAGATTAAAAATGAAGACAAAACAAAATGTTTTTGAACTGGGGAAAAAAGAGCTGAACTAGAATGTACAGAGATGAGAAAATTTACTGTACATTTGTTGAGTTAGAGAAAATATATGATGGAACAAATAGGCAGAGATTATGGAATGGTTTGTATTAATATAGAATTGAAGGTTGATTGTTGAATATGATACAAATAGTATGTGATGGAATTAAAGATTCCAGAGGATAAATGGAATATTTAGCAAATGGGTCAACATTGAGCATTTTGGCTTGGGTGTCTACTGTGTTTATGAATAAATAAATAAAAGGAAACAGTCATGGTGATCTTATATTGGTTGGGATGTAAATGTGCTTGTATGCATCTAGTGTTCTAATTTTGTTTGAGACTGTGAATGATTTGTACTGAATGTTAAATAGATAGAAGTATGGTATTATAAAGAGTTTGAATGTTGATGTTAAGATTTTAACAGCTACGTTGGTGTGAAGACTGCAAAATACATTGCCTGTTGTAATTTATCTTAAACAATTCATGAAAGAGTGTTAGGGTTCAGATTGTATAAGTCTTCTGGCTAATATAGTAGACATTTGTTATCATTCAAATCATGGATTTGTATCAAGTATTGCAGGATATTAGATTTCCTATGCAATTAATTTCTTGGATTAACAATTACCATAATCCTTTTGATTTTGTAAATATCAATTGAATTTTTTCACCAGTAATAAAAACAAAGGATGGAACTTGTCTCATTTAATTTTTAATTTAACTTGGCATGCCTAATAAAACTATCTGATAACATCAAAGGGATTTGTATAGTTGAATGTGAGTATAAGATTTTATATGAAGATGATAATTTTCAACAATTGTGTAATCTAAATTTGAAGCACAGTATGTATGTGTGTATATACATAGTCAATATTCTAGATATAAAAATAGAATAGAATAGAATAGAATAGAATACAATAGAATACAATAGAATAGAGTAAGTACTAGTTCATTGTCTGGAAAATATTAGGGTTTTTTTTATATTGTTCAGAAGCTATCCCCAGGAAGCTATTGAATTTAGTAGGTAATAATATTTCAAAATGCATCACTCAGGTAAAAGAGGCTATTGAGAGGCGAATGAAAACATCCTTAGGTTTCTTGGGAAGAACTAGTGTTATTAAAGACAAATTTAGTATCAAATTTATACATATTTTCAGAGCAATGCTTATCTTGGTTTAGCCTAAATATTTTAAATAAGTAGTTTTTGTTTTATTTATAAAAATTAATGATTATTGTAAATTTTTATGGATGGAGGAAATACCCAGTTTGTCATTGGCTTACTTATTAATCTAAGTCAGTGGTTCTCAATTTTTTTAATGCTGCGACCCCCAACCGGTCGTAAGTCGACTACTCAACCGGTCGTAAGTCGAGGACTAGTCAACTGGTGCAGCACCATTTGCAGAATGGGACTTTTGGCGGGCTCAGCAGGGCAGAGACAGCCTGGACAATGCCTATTGGCTTTTGAAAGCCAATGGAATTAGACTCTATTCAAGAGAGTCTATTCTATTGGCTTTCAAAAGACAATAGAATAAAAGGGAGTAGCACAACTAAGGAAAAGGGGAAAAAATGACGGACTGCGTTGTTTGGCGACCCCGTGAAATGGTCGTTCGACCTCAAATGGGGTCCCGACCCACAGGTTGAGAACCACTGATCTAAGTCATGTATTGGAATGGAACTTTATTAGCTACCGGTACTTATGATCATGGGCTACAATCATAAGATTCTGTAAGGCCCAGCCTCAGCTAATATTCCCAAGAAAGCACAACTCTTGAAACTGGCATTGTTTCAAAAGAAACTTTTATTGAGAGATAGTGAAGACAGAAAAGCTAAGCAAGATCTGAATAATTCCCACACGAAACGTTACATTAAACCCCTCTCTTCAAAACCCCTCCCAGGTGCCTATCTACCCAGTCCAAATCCAGCCAATCCACAGGCGTGAAGTTGTTATGGGTACTGGAAGTTGAAGGAGCGATAAAACTCTCCTGTTTGATAGAAGGCCACCAGAATTAACAAGTGTAGGGTCTTTACAAACCCAAAGTGTCCTGCCACCTTTGAGTTATGGCAGGTCTGCATAGTCTTTAGTCTCTGGCTGGGACATATAACTTCCCTCCTATCTCTGCCAGCCCCTCCCACATGGAGCAAAGGTTCTTGTGACTAATGAACCATTTGCCCTTTTGCAGGCCTTGCTTAAAGGCCAGGGTGATAGCGTTTCTAATGGTGGGATGCCTTTTGATTACACCCTCGTGATTACTGGGACAGTAACAGTGCTCAGTTTTCATCTCAGCGTATATAATATATCATCCAAGTACACCAAAACTCCCTTATACAGGTGTTCATGTATCACTTCATTTATCGGTTGCAGGGGCTACTTGTAATCCAAAAGGAAGCACTTTAAATTGAAAGCAGCCCAGGGGGCAATTAAAAGCAGTTTTCCATTTGTCTCCCTCTCTAATTCTGATAACCAGTAATAAGCCTCTCATAAGTCCAGTTTAGAAAATACTTTCCCCTTACAAAGGTGGGCCAGCATGTCCTTCATGAGGGGCAAGGGATATACATTCTCCTTGCACACTGTTTTCATATCCCTGTAATCCACGCAGAGACGAACAGATCCATCTTCCTTCTCCCAGAACAACACTGGGGCTGCCACCTGTATCCAACCGGCTGGATGAAACCCCGAGCTAAGTTTTTATCTGTGAACTGGCACAGTTCGTCTAACTCCCTGGAAGTCATGGAGTACAGTTTAGGTTTTGAAAGTTTAGCTTTGGGACAATCTCAATGGCACAGTCTGTGGGCCGGTGAGGAGGGAGTTCATCTGAATCCCTCTCGCTAAATACTTTAGCCAAATGGTGGTATTCCTTAGGTATGCCTCTCAGCGACTTGCTCTTTGTGGCTGCCCAGGTGCCCGGTCCAAATCCAGCCAATCCACAGGTGTGACGTTATTATGGGAACTGGAAGTTGAAGGAGCGATAAAACTCTGTTCCCAGGCATTGCATCCTCTTCTCAAAGGAGCAGAGATAAGGCAGATGGCCCCAGGCACATTCCTCCCCCTTTCACACACAAAGGTTGAGAGAACAAAGCAAATGAAACACATCCCACAGCTCACGACCTCCCCCCTCCCAACAGAGGAAAAGCCTCCCCTCTCCCAACATAATGGCAGCACCCCGAAAATGATTTGAGGAGCCTGACAGATTCAGAATTACAATTTACTACCTTCTGGTCCAGAAATATTTGTTCTTATTATAGTAGGAATTAGTTTATTTTCTAGCACTGAAGGTAATAAACATAGGTAATTTACTATATATAATTTACTTTTGTTCTTTTATTTTTCTCTTTACTGTATAGTGTTTTTAAATGTAGTAGACTAAGTTTATTTTTGGTAATACAACAATAATATAGTTATATTAATATATCAATGTTTAGTTTTTATATAATTTCATAATTAAGGTTTTAAAGAATGCTTTATTTGAGAGTCTGTGGCATGTTGTCAGTTAAGGTGCTGGGCTGGAAGTAGATAGACCCAAATTCTAGTTCTTCCTTAGGCACAGAAACCAGCTGGATGACTTTGGGTAACAGAAAATTATTATTTTTCCCCCTGTCCTCCTCCATTATATTTTCTTTCTCTGTTCATCACTTACAGTTGTATCACATTGGCTACTTCTTTCCTTTGTGCATTTTTTTGATGGAGTTTTCATCCTAGCTATTGAAGATAAAGCTAAACTGCTATATGTAACGAAGTTGGAAGAAACCTTGGAGGTTTTCTAGTTCAATCCCCCCCCCCTGCTCAAACAGGAAACTCTATAACATTTCAGACAAATGGTTGTCCAATTTCTTCTTAAAAACCTCCAGTGATGGAGCACCCACAATTTCTGGAAGCAAGTCGTCCCACTGATTAATTGTTCTAACTGTCAGGAAATTTCTCCATCGTTCTAGGATGGTTTCCATCCATTGCTTCTTGTCCTGCCTTCTGATGCTTTGAAGAATAGGTTGATCCTTCTTCTTCGTGGTAACCCCTTAGATATTGGAATACTGCTATCATGTCACTCACAATCCTTGTTTTCATTAAACTAGATATACTCAGTTCTTGCAACTGTTCTTCATATGTTTTAGCCTCCAGGCCCCTAATCATCTTTGTTGCTCTTCTCTGCACTCTTTCTAGAGTCTCAATGTGTTTTTTATATTGGGCGACTAAAACAGGATGCAATATTCCAAGTATGGTCTTGCCAAGGCATTATAAAATGGTACCAACATTCACGTGATCTTGCAGAAAACTGCAATTCTTTGTTATCTAGTATTCTACAGACTTTTATAATCCAAAATTATTAGCTTGGGAGGGGATATTATGAATAGAGGGAGCCTCTTCTCACCTAGCACTGGACTTGGTGAGAGGTGAGAAAGATCTAAGTGAGACATATGCTTAGACAGTTTGCTGTGTACACCAGTTTGCTGAAGAAATTGGGTCAAAATTCTGAAATAGAATCTTGTGCAGAACAGTAGATACTCAAGCATGGCATTAATTTTATGTACTTATCATGATGTAAGGAGACAGATATGTAAATTTGCTGTAAGGTTGAATCCAGTAGATTTTAAGCTCAACCTTTTTCGTTTGATTTCCTCCAGATCTAAGAATTCCTATGAAGATAGCTATGCTTCAAAGAAAGATGCTTCTGATGATATCAACTACCATTCTCCTTTGTTACAAGGACACATTTGGGATAAATTCCAAGAGAACTCTTTGAAGAATGCCACTGTTCCAGCCCATGAGGTATCTAATCTCATTCTTGCTGATAGATTAGCCTGCAATTGTTTAGTATAAACCATTGGTGGGAGGAAAGTGGTCCAGACCTTGTATTTTTCTATTTTTTTTTCCAATAGTAAAATTCCTTGGGAAAGAAGTTATAGATTGTTTTGCTTTGTTTTAATTCAGGCTAGCATTCACTCCCATATATTTTCTATGTTTTTCCCCACATAGCTTTCATTGCCTGACGGGCTAACTCCCCTCCAACATTACAAGGAATCTGGCCTCAGTTCTAGCAGTTATGAGCTTAGTCAATATATGGAAAATTCTTCCAACCACCATGAAGCAACTTTCTCCGAGGATTGGAGCCCTGTTCAGTCAGGTGAGTTATTCAACACGGATAAGATGCAGGGTGATGGCAATAAAGCTGAATACTTATCAAAGACTGGATAGAGCGATGGTGAAACTCATGGTTAGAAAACAAAAAATATATATTTGGCTCAGAAGTACCATCTGAGGATTCCCCCAAATTTGAATGTTGGCACTGGATTGGGCTAAAAAGCTGGGGTAATTTTATAGCAGTTTGATATGTAGGGAGGGAGAGATGTTCCGTGTATAAAGAAGGGGTGAATAGATCTGTCTATGAGGCTTTTCATCAGAATAACATGGCCATAATTTCTTGTTGTGATATTAGTACTAATTTGGCTCATTTTCATTGGAAGGGTATGTGATGTTAAGATTGGAGAGAAAGGCCCTGTTTTATGGTCTGCCCAAAGGAGAGTCAGTGTCAGAATCCAATTATATTTCAATTCTAGCTATTGACCCTGAAAAAAGACCCATTTCTTACTCTTTGTGTATTCTGTCATACTACGAAAGGTGAGGAAGGAGCAAGGGGGTTTATGACTCTCACTTCCTTCATTTAAACTACAAAGGACTGGATGTGATTCTTATCAAGAGGACTGACCATAACAATATGGCCATAGCCTTTCATCTACTATCCTTCTGAACTCTCCCTTCTGCCGGCAGTGAGGAAAAAGGGGTGGAACTGTAATGCCTGGGATCGTTGCTGGAAGGACGGTGGGGTGGGGCTGCTTAGGAACACTTAAAACATTGAATGGTAGGGGTTGGCCTCTCAGATCCTGTCTAGAACTCCTGCAACCATCTTCTCTTAATAAAGATGCCTGTTGGAAGAGATATTCCAAGAGTTTTGTCTTCTTAAGATGTAAAGTGGGGTGGGTCCTTACGTTAGACAGGATCTGCAAAATTAGTCCACCTGGAAGGGAGAACCTTGCCGGGGGACTTTGCAAAAATTACCATGTCAGATGACAGAGCAGGGAAGGGAGAAAACTCCCCGGAAAGGGAGCCGCTGCCCTGACTGAAACTCTGCCAGATGTCGGGATCTGAGAGGTCAGATTCCTCAGGAGAAGAGGTGGTGGAGACACATAACCACAAACCTTGGTGGTCAATGGGCGTTGGAAAGAAAGGCGAGTGGGAAAAGAAATCAAGAAAGGTGACCCTGAGACGGGGGGCTAACCAACCAGAATGGAAGCAGGAGATCGGGAAATCCCTGTACACAAGTGAAGACGAAGAGAGCTGGGCACCGTACTCAGGCTGGATCCTAGAGAAAGCTATTGACCTGATGAAGAGAACCCTCAGCTCCCTAGGAGAGGAGAATTCTGAGCCCTACAGGCGCACCAGCTCCTGGAGCCACAACTGGAGAGACACCGAGGGGGAAGTGGAACCTGCGGCCCCGGGGACATCTGCTGATCCAGTAGTCCCCATTCCCCACCGACCCGCAGATGGCGATCTGGATAGAAGACACTACCACCGACAACAAAGGCACCGATCCATTCAAAGACTCCCGCCGCTGGACATGAGATTCAAGGGGGAGCCGACACGCTTGGGGTTTTTCCTAACCCAAGTCCTCAGCTACATAGAGGAATACGGGTGGCATATCCCCAGTGGCAAAGCCCGTATCCGGATCGTGCAATCTTTTCTGGACGGGCTGGCCGCAGATTAGGTGGTGAACTTGCACGATTCCAATGCCTCAAAGCTATTAAAGAAGTTTCATACAGAGTATCCTAACAAGCCAGACTAACTTTTATACCTGTTTTGTTTTCTTTACAGGTGGATCTCTCTTATTTTTAAGGAGGGCAGGATGTCAGAATCCAATTATATTTCAATTCTAACTACCGACTCTGAAAAAAGATCCATTTCTTACTTTTTGTGTATTCTGTCATACTATGAAAGGGGAGGAGGGAGCAAGGGGGTTTATGACTCTCACTTCCTTCATTTAAACTACAAAGGACTGGATGTTATTCTTATCAAGAGGACTGACCATAACAATATGGCCATAGCCTTTCATCTACTATCCCTCTGAAGTCTCCCTTCTGCCGGCAGTGAGGAAAAAGGGGTGGAAATGTAACGCCTGGGATCGTTGCTGGAAGGACGGTGGGGTGGGGCTGCTTGGGAACACTTAAAACATTGAATGGTAGGGGTTGGCCCCTCAGATCCTGTCTAGAACGCCTGCAACCATCTTCTCTTAATAAAGATGCCTATTGGAAGAGATATTCCAAGAGTTCTGTCTTCTTAAGATGTAAAGTGGGGTGGGTCCTTACAGTCAGGTTGGATGGTCTTCAGGACTTAAGGGTTTTGGTTTTTTTACTTGTGGTGTTTGCTCCAGATTTACATAGTAGTTCTGAGTGAACTCCACTTTCTATTCCTCCTACCCCTTTAGGTTGTTCCTAAAACTTAAAAAAAAAATCAGTTAAGCTTTTATTGCTTTTATTCCTACCCTCCAAAAATATCTTTAAAAAACAAGCATTACTTTTATTACGTTCATTATTGATAACATTTGAAAACTGCTCTAGCAGGATTTGTCTGAAAATGTTGACTAGAAAATATTGAATAAATAATATACTTCTGTTCCCTGCCCTAGACTTTCTTTAGATTAGTTTTTTAAGAGTATTGACTATATATTCATAGCTAGATCCGACTTGATGGAAACTGCTCTGTGCTTTTAAAGATGAAACCTAGAAGTAAAGAGAAATTTTTCTGACAATTAAAACAATTAATCAATGGAATAGCTTGCCTCCCAGAGTTATGGGTGCTCCACTTTTTTTGAATGTTTTCAGAACTAGACTGGACATCTATTTGATTGGGATGGTATAAGGACTCCTAGCTCAATACAGAGTTGGACTAAAGATCTCTAAGGTCCCTTCCAGGCCAATGATTCAATGCTCTACAATCTGAAATGGTTCCAGTCAGATAAAATAAAAAGTGATGCTCACATTGAAAAGTCAAGTAGCTGTACAGGAGCAGAAAGCCCAGCCATCAAATTTGGAGATATTATATTTGTAGCTTATCATCTAGGCCATTTGCCCACCAGTACAAGGACTGTCTTCTTGTCTTCTAGCAGAAGACTTCCAAGCTATGTCTAACTGTGTGACCTCCCCCAAATTTACTGTCCCTCATGTACCTCTGTGTTTTGGAGCTGGAGGGCAGTTGGTCCGAGGATGTCCAAATGATCCAGCAGATGGACAACCTGCTCTTGTTGAGATACACAGCCTTGAGGTAAACTTTTAATTGCTCGTTAGTAACAAGCTGTGATATTGCATATCTGGCTGCATGGGATCAGAACTGTGGCACTATTTGATTGTTTTTTTGTTTCTTATTCCTTGGTTTTACTTTCTTCTCTGATTTCCCTATCTCATTTATAGTTGTTCCTAGTAAACAAAGAGCGTGCCCTATTATATACCTTTTTTTTTTCTCTAAGCATCTTCCATCATTCCCCTTATAGGTAGCATGGTTGTTATAATGCATTCTCTAGACATCCAACAGGCTTTTCAGCGTTCAGCTTACATATTAAATGCTCTGAAAGAAGGAGAGTGCAGAGGTTATGCAGGCAAATAAAGTCTATATTGCAAAGTGCATTTTGTAACCTACTTGACTGTGGAGACCCAGATGAACTGTAGTTAAGCGACTGCACTTTGAGTTAGGAAGCGCATGATTCTAAATTCTCCCTCTTCAAAGATAAACCCAGAGGTCTCAACTGGGGCTTTTGTGCTCAGTTTAGTTTACTGTCAGGCAGGGTCTGATACCCTTTTAGATCAAAGAGATTGACATAATGAATACGAAGTTCTTTGAACGTTTATTTAGAAAATAATAAAGTCAGATTTCAGTATGCCACGGAAAGGGAACCAGAGTACAGTTAGTCCTTGACTTACAACTACAACGGAGCCCAAAATTTATGTTGCTAAGCAAAATAGTTTCCCTATTTTACAATTTTTTTCTTGTCACAGTTGTTTAGTGAATCATTGCAGTCGTCAAGTTAGTAACACGGTTGTTCTATGAATCTGGCTTCCCCATTGACTTTGCTTGTCAGGAGGTTGCAAAATGTGATCACATGGCCTGGGACAAGCAACCATCATAATATGAGCCAGTTGCCAAATGTCTGAATTTTGATCACATGACCATGAGACTCTGCAATGGTCACAAGTGTGAAAAATGGTCATAAATCACTTTTTTCAATGCCGTTGTAACTTTGTACTGTCACTAAATGAACTGTTGTATGTCAGGGACTTCCTGTAGTACAAACAGATATTCAAAAGGCATATGCTTTCTGCTGACTTAAACCAGTATGTTGTAGCATGCTGCCTACATTATAGTTTAGCTTAACGAGTACAGGCAATTATTGATAGAAACCTACTTGTGAACATAATGCTAAACTATAAAACAATTTCTTTGTTTTGGCTTAGTGTGAGTTATAAATCCATTCTTTATGAGTGAACCAGGCCATTATAATTTACTGACAATTCTGCCGTACGCTAATCAGCAAGCCAGGCTTTTGAACCTGCTTCTGTTTTACAGATTATTCTACATGACACTGCTGAGCAAGAAATGATGAGAATCTTTCCAGGACCTCTGATCAGGTATAAGACTTGAGGGGAGGTCGGCCCTTGCCCTTGCCAATAGCAAAGTTTGGACTAAAGGGTAACAAAATGAAACTAATGTATGGAGAAACTGAGGAAATTCTCCTGTTTCAGGTCCTTAGTAATACACTTAGTCCTTGACTTATGAAGACAATTGAGCCAAAAATTTCCCTTGCTAAGCAAGACAGTTGTTAGGTGAGTTTTGCACCATTTTATGACCTTTCTTACCACAGTGATTAAGTGAATCACTGCAGTTGCTAAGTTAGTAACACAATTGTTAAGTGAATCTGGCTTCCCCATTGACTTTGCTTGTCAGAAGATCACATGACCCTGGGACACGGCTATCATCATAAATACATGCCAATTGCCAAGCATCCAGATTTTGATCATGTGACCACGGAGATGCTGTAATAGTGGTAAGTGTGAAAAACGGTCATAAGTCACTTTTTTCAGTGCTTTGGTAATTTCGAATGATCACTAAACAAATGGTTATAAGTGGAGGACTATCTGTAAATGGGTGCAGTATAATACTGTTTTAATGAAAACATTTATCTAGCCATCTGCCACCCAGCCAAACTCTGGGTGACTTACAACCCTCAAATAAATCAATATGTACAGCAATAAAAAGAAAAGAAGCATTAAAACCCAAAGCCAGGTGCCACAACTATCCTTCCATAATGCAACTCCCAACATTCTCCTCCCATTCCAACCTCACCTTATTGCAACACTTGGGAGAAGATCCAGGTCTTAAGTGCTTCCCTGAAAGTTAAAAGGGTGATTAAGATGACAGTAAGCTTCTACAATTCTTGTTTATTCTGACAAACAATTCTGTCTCATGATATATAGTGACTAAGAAAAAAATACCATTGGGATTTTCTGCTTCAGGCATTCCATATCTTAACGGGGTCTTTTGTTATGGTATTTTTTCAGAACAAAATTTGATAAGTATTTTATATCATTTGAAGATGTTTTTAATATGCTGTGAGTCACAGAAAGTATTGCACAATAATTCAACTATTTTAGTTTTATGGCAGAAGACTAAAAGGGAAGAATGAAAGAAAGGGAAAGATATCTTTACCTATTTCTTTATTATTGGCTGGAGAATGTGATTACTTGAGCCTATTTCTGTAGCTAGGTCAAAGAGATAAGCCGTACTTTTGCTTTCTAGATGCTGGATAGATTGCTGGCTTGCCAGAAGTTCCAGTTATGGGAGCTGGCAGAGGAGTCTCTCTAAAGTCTATAATTACTGGCTAATGGTCTAGAATGGCTGGTTGACATTTCATCAAAGGGGAATGGTGACAGGAAATGGTCTACTAATAGCCAAGAATCGCTCTTCAGCTTTGGGAGTGAAATACCCATCAAAGAGGGAGACAGTTCTGGAAGAGGAACAAAAATGGCTAATGGCATTTTGATGTATGAATGTGGAGAGAATGAGGCAGAAGAATCAGGAGGAAAATGGGAGGGTGGGGGTTTAACTGAAACATCGGTGCTCTCTATGGAAGGTGACATAAATGATTATCTAGGACAAGCCTTTGCTTTTTCGTGAGCTGCTTATGCAAAATTGCACAAATATTACACATATGCATTAAACCCTGCTGAGATTTAATTACATTATTGTTGTTCTTTTCTTTTCTGCCAGGGAAGATCTGCACAAGGTGGATGTGATGACATTCTGTCAGCGCAAAGCAGCTACTGGCTGTGACTTGACAACTAAGCAGGGCCGAGATTCTGCCTTGCTTTGGAAGCTCCTCCTCCTCCTTTGCCGACAAAATGGAGTAGGTATAAAGGAGGGCAGTCCTGGGTGGACTGGTTATGGCAGATGATGAATGCAGTCCAGACAGAATGAGTCTGTATTCTTCTGGATGTGGGTAGGTTGTCCCCATAACTGAATATAGTCTGCAGATCTGCAGTATTTTAATCACTTCCTTGGGGTATCTGATGATTAGTTACCGATCATAGAATTGAAGATGGAGAATGCTTGATCTCTTCCTTTCCCCATTTACCCCAATATTGCCAAGGTTGTGTTATTGACATGGGAAGACTGTGGTCGGTCTCGTGCCTGCAGAGTTTTTTGTAAACGTATTGAACGCACATGGGCTGTCCCTCTGGTGAAGCTTCTCTCCATCAATGAAGGGCTCCTCAACTCTTTCCAAATCTTCTGAGATAGCTTTTGGAAGACATTAAGATGATGTTAACTCTCAAATTCTAGCAGTAAAGTATATGAGTTAATCTGAAGAACAGATTTGAAAATTGAGAAATCAGTTCTTGAATCTGGTTTTCATGAATTTGAGAGGCTTATTTTCCAGCAAAGTAAAACATTAAAATTAAAAGCAAATTAAAGGATGAAACACTCTGGAAATGCCCATGGAGTAACTGTTCTGCTACTGCCCCCTTTCTTGCTTTATTATTAACCCTGATGTTTCTGATCTTCCAACTCATGGAATGTGTGTTGTTTTCTCCCTCCCCTTTGCAGTCCATGGTGGGATCAGATACAGCTGAGCTGCTGATGCAAGATCGCAAATACCCAGAAAAGTTCAAAAAACAAGAGCCACGTATGAACCTGATTAACTTGACGGGAGAAGACTGGCCAGTGTCTGGCTATGGAACCATGGACCTTCTCACAGGGGAGATGGTCCCAACTGCTGGCACACCAGAGCAAAAAATAGAGAAATTCACCAAACTCCTTTTCTATGGCAGAAAGAAAGTAAGAGCTAAGTTTCCACGTTTGCTGAGGGGATTATCTGTACAGAGCCTTGGATCACACTCATATTGTTATAACCTCAAGTGATTACCCAATATGTCTGTTAATCCACAGTTTCATTTCACATGAAAAATGCAGGGAGAATGCAAATCAGACACAATATATTTCCTCAGAGAAATATATTGCTTTTATTGAGAAGTACAGCACTATTAGACTGTCTTTTAATTAAACTCTATTTTAAAGTGTTGTACTCCACTGGTTTTATTGTCTTGCTTTATGGAATTCTGTTTTATTATTATTTACTTTTGTCAAATTATTTTCATGGAACATTGTTTTTATTATTTTTTGTATAGCCTTTGGGGCTCCTTCATGAGGAAAAAAACAGTAAAAAACTAAATTACAATAGGAATACTTAGGCAAATGATTATATTGGTTCAGAAGTGACAGTTTGATGTCTTTTGCATGTTTAAGGTTACAGCTTACACAATCACTTGCCATTGACTGCTAGTTGATTTGAAACATCTACAGTAGAATTTCCAACCCCCAAAGGGTAGTACACAGCCTGCTCTGCATGCCAAAGATCCACTGGTCCACTCTTTCAGATCTTAAGAATCTCAAGTTGTTGATCTTGTTCTGTTTAATATTTGATTAGCTCTTTTTTCCTGTGGAATATAATATTAGGGTAATAATATATCCCTGTGCTTTTCTTGATTCTCATATCCATTTTACTTAGACCGAGCACTACCCAATCCATGAAACACAGTGGAAACTGATATCTAGGCTAGCTCTCATCTGCCATGAACTTTGAGCGTTAGTCACATTGGAAAATAATAGTATGAGATAGAGTAGGGTGCAGTTGGTGGATGTCAAGAGTTTTGATTATGGTTTGCTTGCTCATAGGAAGCCCTGGATTGGGCTATGAGAAACCAGCTATGGGGCCATGCACTCTTTCTATCAAGCAAAATGAACCCAAGGATTTACAATCGGGTCCTGACTGGGTGTGTAGACTGTTTTGCAGTTTCCTTCATTTTAGCCTATTGTTTAAATGCTCATATTTGCCATGACTGACAAAAAAATATTTATTCTGTCCTGCTGCAGGTTCACAAGCACACTGGCCTCCAATGATCCTCTGCAGACACTTTTCCAGCTCATGTCTGGAAGGATACCGCAGGCATCTTTGGTACTGATTTCTGCCCCTGCCCCTCTGCTTTCATGGGTCCTGTTTATCTGGCCTAATCAGGATGAATCTGAGGCGAGCAAACCATCAAATGGAGATGGACAATGAAGGGCAGCTCAGATGGAGGAGCCAAGCCTAAGGCAGCAGTTTGATAGGACAAGGTGGAATCTTCTTGGCCCCTGGAGTCATGGACTCTTTGTGCAGAGAGAGCAGGCCAGCAATGCTACAAAGCATCAATTAGGATGCATAAAGTAAAGAAGCACCAGACTAATCCAAAGCTAGACTTTGATAAAACAAAGCTTTTTTTTTTTTTTTTTACTAAGAATGGGCACTTAAGGAGACTGCTGGAATCACTTATTTTTTGTGTCTTTCTCCTTCCTGCCACCTCTGTGCATGTGATCATCTGACAATGCCATAATTGGTGTAGGCATGGCATGTGTGTAATTCTACTAAATGTCTACAAGGCTCAACAAGGAAGATTGACAATAGCTTGTTGACACCAGCAACAATTATGGATTGCTAGGACACCCAAACTTACTGTAGTTGTTAGATTGGTAGAATCCAAGGCTAAGCTAACTGTTACTATTTTGACATTTTAATCTAGGACTTGACCAGATTTGTTGACAATGCTTGAGAAGGCATGAGTACAGAAGGCAGTGGGTTAAGAAAGGATCAACTATATCCTATTCATTTATTTGGTGGCTAAATAAGTTAAGCTACTTAACTGATGGACATATTAGGTATACCTGAAAAATGCTAAGGAAATATTTATTTATGTCTTAAATTTATTGGCTATGTTCTGGGAATGATTAAGAATAATCTTGGTCTAAACCAAAAGTGACTACAGCTAATCAATAGTATCAAGGCTGAATTGGAATCAGCTGATTTATATTTAGGCTGGAACTAAGGATCTGGCAATCTGACCTTCAGCTGAACAGAGAAGTGTGGAATGTGTTAAAGTGTGAAATTATGCTATTCCAGGTACCTCTTTCTGCCTGCCAGTTTTAGGGCTGTATGCTGTACTTATCCATTCTCTTGTGAAAGGCATGGTCAGCTGAAGTCTAACTGACCTAATGAGAGTCTGGACATTGCCTCAGATATAGCTAGCCTGAATCTGACCTGTCCTTGATAGGAGTATCTCCTTCAGGTTGACTCTAAGTGCACATTCTACTTTTTGCCTTTGCTGGATTATTAGGGCAAATTAAAATATAGTTTGAAGAAGGAATGAGTTTAATGGGGTAGAGATAGTCTGAATGAAACACTCTGAGAATGGAGTAACTGTTCTGCTATTACCCCCTTTCTTGTTGCTTTACTACTTTTGTTTTCTTATGAGCATCTAAATCATTCATGTATGTGATTCCTTGGGCCAAGTTCTCCAGCAATCTAAAGATTTACTGCTGAGAAAGAATCCATGAAGTCAAAAGGTTAACCACTGTTCCATGGGAGGCAATAATGGGGCCAGAAACTTTGGTATACTTCAGAAGTCAAATGTGCTGAAAGTTTACCTCAGGTCAGCCCTCCCCAATCTAATGAGTCATGAGGTGACTGACTCATTATGTTGGAATCAAACTAAAGAAAGAAAATTCAAGTGCTCCCTCAACCATGAAGCTTGCTGGCTCATTTCTCTCAACCTTACCTGGCTACTGTCATAAGAGGGAGATTCTTATATACTATAAGCTGCCTTGAATAAAAGCTGGGAAAATAAACTTTTCCGTGTTTTGGCTAGGTTGGCTGAACATTTTAGGAGTTGCAGTGTCAGCACTGGCATTTGGTGAAGGTTTCCTTAAAGATTATATATTTTCTTCGTGCTTCAGGTCAGGTATCCTCCGTGCTTTGTTTAATGTTATTTTGCTGAATGCATGAAGTGGTACAACACACACACAAAATTGGTTTGCTTTCCAAATATTTGTAGCCTTTTTCCTGGATCTTATGCCAGACAGAGGAAACAAATTTGAGTAAATAATGATGTTTTATATCCTTTATACCCTGTAATTTCCTCTTTTTTGACTATAGTCCTGTGGAGATGAGAAGTGGGGAGACTGGAGGCCACACCTGGCTGTCATGCTGTCTAATCAAGTAGGAGACTTGGACCTGAATTCCAGAGCCATCATCTCTATGGGAGACACATTGGGTGAGGAAATTCACACAGACATGAGGGGGTGGGGGTGGGGGATGGAATGATTTCCAATTCCAATGCCACGGAAGTTGCATCTACATTCCTTGGTACTTCAGTTGCATACAAATGGAAGAATCACTTAAAGAGGAAAGGCTATGTGGGAAGAATCACGGAGATATCCTCCCTCTACCAAACCTTTGATCCTCACATGATCTTCTCATATAATCCCTCCTGTCTTATCTCCTTCCTCCACGTCTGCCTGAAAAAACAGTGACAATATGAGAAACAATCAGTCAGGTTGGCAATCATAAAAGAACTAGAATGTTTATTGTATTTAACTATACAGGATTGGCTAACTGTTATAATGTCCATGTCTTTAAAAGAGGGAAATGTGGGTGTATCTAAATGCTACAAAAAGGTTGCAATTTCCCCCAGTGAATCTTCTCTTTTCTCATAAGGCTTCCTTAAAAGAAACATAATGCATTTTGTATTCTCTTATGTTCTTCCCATAGTTTAATGTGTGCCTTCTTATCTATTCAGTTGGGAAAGGGTTAATAGAAGCTGCTCACTTCTGCTATCTGATGGCAGATGTTCCTTTCGGCCACTATCGAGTTCAAACAGATTATATGGTATTGCTGGGAAGTAATCAGAGGTAAGTGAACAAGAAATAGAAGTTCCCACCTAATTAAAAAAAAACATTTAATTTTATACTTTTCTTTCCCAGACTGGGGCTTATCACTTTCAAAATTCCCATGAGCAGCCTTAGTACTGATTCCAAGTTGAAGCAGACCTGGGTATCCCCAACAATATTGGATGGTGCTGGAAGACAAGATAGCATTTTTTACTGAGGTTGTATGACAGCGGTTCTCAACCTGTGGGTCGGGACCCCATTTGGGGTCAAATGACCATTTTACAGGGGTCACCAAACAACGCAGTCCACCATTTCCCCCCCTTTTCCTTAGCTGTGCTACTCCTTTTTATTCTATTGGCTTTTGAAAGCCAATAGAATAGACTCTCTTGAATAGAGTCTAATTCTATTGGCTTTCAAAAGCCAGTAGGAATTGTCCAGGCTGTCTCTGCCCTGCTGAGCCCGCCAAAAGTCCTGTTCTGCAAACGGTGCTGCAAGTTGTCTGCAGCGAAGGCGAGCTGTCTGGAAGTTTCCACCCCTCCCCGCTGAGCAACTACTAAAAATGTAAGTAAAAGAGGGCCAGGGATGGGAGATGGGAGGCCAGTGGGCGCAGGGAGGGTTGCTGCCGTGCGTGGGGCCCGGCAGGTGCCTTATCTCCCTTGGGCTGGGCCAGCTGGTGGCCCAGCCGGTGGTTGGCCTGCTCCATCTCTGCCGCTTGCCAGCTACACCTCGGCCAGCGCAGGGGGCAGCACCACGCATGTGCAGCGCTCCCGGGCAGGGAAAGTCCTCGACTTACAACCAGTTGGGTAGTCCTCGACTTACGACTGGTTTAGTCCTCGACTTACGACCAGTTGTTTAGTCCTCGACTTATGACCGGTTGGGGGTCGCGGCATTAAAAAGGTTGAGAACCACTGTTGTATGAGATGATATATGAGAATGGGAAGATAAGTAGATCTGCCTTGATTCATGTAGTGGAAATTAGAACTAAGTTTAGGATTTGCTACTGTTCCTTCAACAATAGCTTGTATAAATGAACAAAGAAAGCTAGCCATGGGAAGAGAATAACACAATATCATTTGCTAATGATGCACAATAAGTCACAGGCTGGTTGAACATTTGGCAACATATCTCACAATCATTATACTGGACCAGCTTCTTCTCCAGATACTATAGTTATAATTGTTTGTGGTGGACCACTAATTTTTTGTTTCTACACAATATCAAATTTGTAATGTTAGAACATTCATTCTAAAATAGAGACAGCAGTTACCATCATAGACAAATCTATATTATTTCCTGAAATATTGCTACAAGATGTTTTAGAATGTTTATATTGACTAGAAATAAGAGGCTTTGACATATATTGAAGAGATACTGGCTATGATATAGAATGCTGCTAACTTGTGTCCAGGCTCGTCAAATAATGCTACTGTAGTTCTATATCAATCTGCCTTAGTTTGCAGCCTTCCAAAAGCATCATCGGCATCTTCATTATATACCATTGTATTTGATATTTTTTCTTCAGGGTGGGGGTGGGGAATTGAGGCTGGCTTATATTTAAGTGGGACAAGCACTTAAATATGATCCAGCAGTGGGCTGCAGCTGCCAAAAAAGCCAACATAGTCCTAGGGATAAAATCAAGATCCCATGAAGTATTAGTACTACTTTATAATGTCTTGATAAGACTACACTTGGACTATTTCATCCAGTTTTGGTTACCACAGCATAAAAAAGATGTTGAGATTCTAGAAAGAGTGCAGAGAAGTGCAACAAAGATGATTAGGGGACTGGAAGCTAAAACATGAAAAACAGTTGAAGGAATTGGGTATGTCTAGTCCAGGGGTAGGCAACCTTGGCTCTTTTATGACTCGTGGACTTCAACTCCCAGAATTCCTGAGCCAGCCGTGCTGAGGGGAAAGGGAGAGGTTTCCAAGCTGAGCCATGCTGGCTCAGGAATTCTGGGAGTTGAAGTCCGTGAGTCATAAAAGAGCCAAGGTTGCCTACCCCTGGTCTAGTCTAACAAAAAGAAGTACTAGGAGTGACATGATAGCAGTGTTTCAATATTTGAGGGGCTGCCACAAAGAAAAAGGGGTCAACTTATTCTCCAAAGCATGTGAAGACAGGACAAGAAGCAATGGATGGAAACTAATCCAGGAGCAAAGCAGCCTAGAACTAAGGAGAAATTTCCTGACAGAACAATTAATCTTTAACTGCTTGCCTTCAAAAGTTGTGGGTGCTCGACTTCCGGTTCTGGGTCGCGGCATGTGCAGGCTGCTTTCCCTCTGCTGATAGACCCTTAATTGGGTCAAAAAGTCGCCCTGGAGGGGTGACTACCAATGAGGAGGACTCTCGTCAATCGCAGGGGGAGGCGACAGCTCCTTCCGTGATCCGAGGCAGCTCCTCAGGACCGACGGAGAAACGATCGGCCAGTAACATGGCCGATCATTTAGCTGCACCGGCCGAAAGTCAAAAGAACACCTAAGCATTAAGAAACCACCGTGGATGATCCAGGCGAGACCTTTCCCTCTGTCTCTTTGCCCTAACTACTCTCCTGTTAAAAGCTTTCTGGAACTATTTCCCTGCTTTGAAAGAACTGCCTTTGTATATCTGGGAAAAAGAGCTTTAACAAAAGAAAAGAAAAAAAGTTAACTTTTTATTGACTATTTTTATTTTTGGTCACTTTGGGGCCCTGGAAAAAGCCCTATCATAGAACTTTCTTATTATATCTATTTTCTAAGCTGGAGAATATTGTTTTCCTATTTCTTGGATTTATTTTTTTTAAAGGGATAAATCTTTATTGTTTGAAAAAAAAAACTTTATTGGAAGCCAGAAAAGAGATTTCACAGCTTACTGAGGGCATCTTGTGGCAAAAACTATTACTGCAAGTACATTTTATCTTTGTTTTTTGAGGTTGGGTTTGACCTTTAAATGATGATAAAAATGAAAAAATAAAGGATTTGAAACAGCTGGGTTGTGAAGTTGTTTACTAGTAATTGTGGAGGTGGATACTGTAAGTGCTGACTGTTTGTATGTGTTGACTGTTAGTAAATATAGCCTCCTCTAAAAAAATAAAAAACTATCTCACCACTGAAATGGAGGAATTTCATCCACAGCTTGATTATGAACTTATATTAGAAGCTATTTTGGAAGCAACAGTATATATGAAATCTTGGAGAAACATTAAAGATGACATCTCTGAACCACAAATTGAATCTCAAATCCTAATGGATCAATCTACAGGCCAGGGAACTAGCTCTAGAGAGGCCTGTATGCAGCAATATACACAACTTAAAGAGACAGAGGAACAAGTCACTGAGCAAATGGATGTTAATCTACAATCTATGGAGAATTTTGAAGATCAAAGAACGACTCTAACTGAGACACTTGCAGTGTTAAAAGTAGCAGGAACTGACTCTCAGATACGAATTACTGAGAATAGTGACATCGTGGATAAGCAACTTGTGACTGTAACACAGAAACAAACCGCCTACACTATACAGATGATATTGGAAGAAGGGAAAGTGAACTTGGCTCAGATTTGAGTATTGATAAGTACCCTCACTCAAATATTGAGACTCGATGATATAGAAGCTCTATTATGGAAACCAGACTGGCACAGAAAGAAACCCAGAGTTAGATTTAAAAATGTGATTTAAAACGTTACTTGACGGGTAAATAAGGCTTTAGAGATCTTGATTGAATAAAGATTAATTAAATATGTGAACTTTCTCAAGCACCTTGTTGTAAAAATAATAATAAAAAAATCAATAAAACTTGTTTTTTAAAAAAAGTTGCGGGTGCTCCATCACTGGAGGTTTTTAAGAAGAGATTGGAGAACCTTCTGTCTGAAATGGTATATGGTTTCCTGCTTAAGCAGAGGGTTGGACTAGAATACCTTCAAGGTCCCTTCCAATTCTGTTATTCTGTATGTGCGATTTCAGCTCTCAAAGTCTTTAGGAGACATGACTTTTGCCCCAGTCAAAAATTATTGAAGTCCCACACTACTGGAAGTCAGCAGTTAGGAAAATTTGCAGTATTCCATGCTACATTGGAAATGTGGAGATAAGCCCAACCCCTCTGTCCAAAACAGGAGAACCTATACCGTCCTGGACAAAAGATTGTCTAATCTTTTCTTGAAAAGTCCAGTGATGGAGCTTCCACAACTCCAGGAGGCAAGCTGTTTCATTCATTAGTTGTTCTCACTCTGAGGAAATTCCTCCTTAGTTCTTTAACAAGCTTCCACCCATCAGGTACTTTAGAGAATAAGTTCATGATCTCTTCTTTGTGACAGCACTCAAGTACTGTAAGACAGCTATCATTTCACCCCCAGTCCTTCTCTTTGTTTGAATTAAGTTCCCTTAACCATTCATCAATCATTTGTTTCCACTATTATACTCTATAAACCAGACTAAAGTGAACGCCTCTGAATTAGGGAATAGATCCAAAATGAAAATGTAAAGAAAATGTTGAAACAAGGCAATTTTGCAAAATTTGACATTTTGATTTTGATAACAATATTTGAATTTAGCCTGTGATAACTTTAGAAGTACATCTACTAAATGTAATGGGATTTACTTCTGAATTATTTTCATAAAACCAGACTGTATAAAAATATTAATAAAAGTAGAACACTTAACGTTAGTAGTCATAAAATGGAATGACAGAGTACTATAGAGAAAATAGCGTTTTATTCCAAATAATAAATGTTAACCATCTAAAACAGCATATCCTGTATGCTGGAATATAGAAATATAAATTATGTATTTCCTCTCCAGTGCCCGAGCCCTTCTTTTTTGCTATATAAAGTATACTCTACAGCCTACCACAAGATAGGAATCATTCTGTGAAACAGGTGATTCACCAGCTATTGATTTCACTAGGATTCAGTGTGGATGTCAAATGCTGATGAGAAGTTCAAGTATTGGACAGACCAGGGAATATTAAAATTAATTTTAGTTCCAATGTGGAAAGGAGAGTGTTTGGTATTCTGAGTAGGCATACATAAGTGATTCTCTAGCTGATGAGACAGAGATCTGAACTTCAGTATACCAAAGTGCCCTGTTGAAGCTAGCTTCCTATAAGATAAGGCAAACCCTGCAGCTGATTTAATCATTCACCTTAAGAGGCACAGGTAAGGTTAAAAATCCAATTTACAGAGCCAACAATTCCACTTATATTAATAGCGCTCTGGCCAGATAACAAGGATAAGTGTTTAATGATTTGTTTCACCTTTAAGCTGATTATGCCTTATTAGTATGACAAAACCAAATGCACCTTGCATCTTCAAGCAACACACGTAACCAATTCTTGTGAGTCGCTTAAAGTAATTTCTGTGAAATCATGTGTGTTTAGAAATCTGGTCTTAGGTGAAACCAGATTTTCTGCTTACTGCTCCTGTAGTTAAAAATGAAGTATCCAAAGGCAATCCTAGTTGTTATTTTTCCTGTTTTTTTCCATTAAAGTAACCTCCCCTTTTCTTAAGTTTTCCTAATCTTAAATACAACTTCCACTTAAAAAAAATAAGAAAAGCAACAGCTCCACCTAGGAGTAGAGAAACAACCTTCATGTATCTTTCCAGCTCATATTATAAGTGAACTCTTAGGTACTCAAAATGAAACCATGGAGACTGCTGGTCTATAAATACATCCCTCTGGGAAGCTGTAGCTATTTTCTGAGTGGAAGCTTAACAGGAATTGGGTGGCCAGTGAATCCCCTGAGAGGGAGCTCAAAGGAACAAGTCCAAATTTTGTTTATTACAGAATAAGTATCTGTGTTCTCCCCATTCCACAGTAATCATAAAACAGAGGTCTTCCAGATTTGTTAATTCTACCTTGCTTTATACTTTTGGATAGCTTCATTCAGGAAGTCTCCATTTCATGAAGCAGACACAAAGGAAAGGAAAAAAATCAAAACAAACTCAAAATGTTGCATTTATTTAAAGCATTTATATACTGTATTGTCTTTCACTCGTTCAGTGCCAGATGACTTAATAAAATACAAATAATGATACAAAAATGAAGCCTCCATGTTGTTGGATGAAGAGGAACAGAGAATAAAAATCAAACAGTGCTACAGGAAACACATTTTTGTCATGAGCAGTTTTATTTTTAAAGTCTATTAATTATAGTGTATTCATCAAGGAAGAAACATTAAAGATAGATTCCAATTTTTAGAATACCTTTTATTTAGCATAATAGACAATGATTTTGCCATTTTCTTTAATATTTTGAAAAACATCCAATAGTGAAATTTTGGTAATACTTCAGTGAAGCTTAATTGCCCATTAATTTTTAAATTAGTTAAACAGTCGCCTACCATTTAGACTGCCAGCATCTCTAATTTTATCCTCCAACTTCTGTGGAAGACAGAATTTGATGGAAAGAATAAATTGGGCTCTAAGGATGAAATTAGCTTCTGCTTCTCAACTCTTGATCTGCTTTTTTCTTTCAGCCAAACCTTTTCCCAGTTTGCAAGGACAGAATGTATTCACAGAATGGAAATTCTTGAGTATTGTCGGTTACTGGGGTGTTCCCAAGCTTTCATCCCTTCTTTCCAGGTAATAAGCCAATTAAAAAGGGCCAAATGTTCACATGTTTATAATAAAAAATGTTTATAATAAAAATATTTCCTGAAGTGAGGCTTTTTGTTTAGTTTAGCCAACTTCCATTATCTGCAAATGGAAGGAGGCAGCTCTTTGAACTTCTTCAAGGTTAGCAAAGTTTCTGCTGGAGTCTTAGGGGAAGGGATATAGCACTGAACAAGGCATTCTATCGTTTTACAGTAAGGAAGAAAAGAATAAGATCCTGTAAAGGCAAAAGCACTGACACCTCTTTGGTAGGAGGATTGTGAAGGAGCAAATAACACTTTGCTTTTGACTCCTGATACTAAGGGATCCCCCAAGCTCTTTTACAGCAAGCCCCACCTCTTCTGGTGATACCCTTGCTGTCAAAAGATACATATTTAAAAAGCACAGCTGCAAAAGGGTTGCCGATCCTTGTTTTATGAAGATTTGTTTAAAACTACTGCTGTAGTCTTGCATGGAGAATCTGAGACAATTCCAGCAGAGTATGTATGCTTTATGTGGTTACCTTTGTTATTTTTTTTTAATTTAGATTATAATTTAGTGGTCTATCAAAATTATAATCTCCAGGGCTGTTTGTAGTAAATAACAATAATTATCCCTTCCTATCTCTCCAATAATTCAGCATGATCACATTGAGCACCATATATAGTCTTCTGCGAATGTAGGCAATTGCCTTTCTAACTGATACCATGCACAGCAGTTACTGGGTAATAAATGTCAAAAATACATTACTGCCATCTACATTGCCAAGAAATTCCAAGGAGTATTGATATATGTTTAACTAATTGGTTTCAAAATACTTTGTAGAGGAATCTAGTTTGTACTAGGAGTTTTTATACTGGAATTAATTACAGTATTGTATATTATTTTGACAAAACTATTTCATGTACATGAGCTCAGTGATTTATTTATCAAGCTTATTAATGCAAATAATATTATGCACATACTTTTCTTGTGTCCCTACTTTCTTTTTGCCATTTGTCCACAGTAGTTAACTCAGTATTTTAAGACAAAGATTCATACAAACAAGAGCAGATGGGCTACAACACTGAGAGTAATTCTAGTGTATGAGTATTTCCTCTCTTGCATCCATACATTTTCTCTTAATTCTCTTTCATAGGTATATAAATTGATTTATGCATCTCGCCTGGTTGACTATGGTCTTACTGCCCAGGCCTTACATTATTGTGAAGGGATTGGAATGGCACTTCTTGCCCAGAACCAGAATGCTTATCCTGTCCTCCTAGAGCAGGTTATCAAGGTGAGTGTCTAGTTAGGGACCCCAATAGGAATTGCGTTTATCTCTTAAGGCTATAATTCTTCAGGTACTCATAATATGTGTTGGAATTCTATACTGCTGGAAATTTCACATACAATTCATAATGCAGTTGTATACATTGTGGTTGTTTTATTTATCAAATTCAGACACATTTTCTTTATGATTCTGGGCAGTTTACAGAGTTAGTCTTTGTTTTTGTGTTGTGAAAAGAGTTGGGAGAAACCATTTTTAAACCCACAATGCAGATTTCTTTGGCTAATAGATGAAAGATTAAAAGGGAGGGACATGATGCAAAACAAACTGTGTAAGATATTAAATGTGTATTAGCACTGGGTACAGCAGTTTCTTGGGGCTCTAATCAGGACTAGATTGTAGTATATGAGAAGAATTATTATATTTTTCCCCCAAATCATGGTTGTGATAAAAATGAACATTTCACGATTGGTGCAGATTAGAAACTCATGTTGGTGCCAAAGGGCAGTTCTCTCCAATGCCAAATAGAAAAGGAGTATTTCATCTGTAATTGTGGCATAGCTATTAAAGCAGTGGTTCTCAACCTTTTCTTCACCACGGACCCCCTTTAAATACCTTTTGTGGTCACCTACTTAACTCAACATTTAAATCATAACATTTCTTCAAGCCTTCGCGGACCTCCTGTGACGACATCAGGTTTCCCTTCCCCCAGTGGTCTGCGGACCACAAGTTGAAAACCACTGCACTAAAGGATTTTCCTTTTCCAACACTATAAGAATTACAGCCATATTTAAAACAGCAACAATAATTTCAAATATTAATGTATTGGCAAATTAAGATCTTTCCATAACATAAAAGGGACAAATATTTTCAGAAACAAACTACCTATTTGCAGGTCCTCTTAAACTAAAACATGACAGAGGTGATTTATAAATATGTCCCTGTGTTAACAATAGTTTCTTTTCTGAATACAACAATCCTTTTTGTACAACATGAACAACCAAGGCATCCACTCTCACAAACATGTCTCTTTTGCGAGCCTACAGTATAGAATGGCTGCATCTTTTGTAAAGTAAAGGTAAAGGAGTCCCTGTGGGTTTTACTATGCTAGTCATACCTGACTTTAAAGGGCAATGCTTATCTCCATTTCTTTAAGCCATTGAGTCAGCACTGTCCAAAGACATTTTCGTGGCCATGCTGCAGTGCAAAGCATATGACAAAACGTGGAACACTGTTACCTTCCCACCGAAGTGGTATCTATGTATCTACTTGCATTTACATGCTTTCACCTCACTCCATCACCTGGTGGTAGGGTTCCAACCACTGGAGTACAGACATTCTCCAGGGTCTTTTAAACCACTGAGCCATACTTAAATATAGCCTCTGGCTATATTTATGTTCTTTTTGACTACCATGCTGAGATTGTTTTTTCCTGTCTCCTTCCCTCTTCCTCCCATTTTTTAATGTTTAACAGAACAGGAAAATAATGTCTGCAAAGACTTTGCTGGGATTGGCAAGGCTGTGAATAGATTTGGGAGAAGTTACTCATTCCACCTATTTCTGATCATTTTCCATCCATCACTGTGGCCATGGTGAGGAGAGGGGAATTGAGACATAGCTACTAATAAGCCCCACATTTCTGGATCTTCATAGAACTTTGTCTCAGGCATGGACATTAGAGGGGAAATTAATCTTGTAATAAGTTCAGACAAATGGGGAAGATGAGTGATTTTTATCACCAAACAAAACTGGATGTCTTAGAGGTTGAGTCTAACCCTGCAGAGTTAATTAACTAGATATGAACTCTGTTTTGGACATAGTTATTTTCCTCCCCCCCCCCCAAACCTGTCAAATGTATCATGCAAATAGTAAGGAAAACTTTCAGCTCCTGAAATTTCAGAAAGACTGAACTGCTTCTCCCATTTATCTCTAACAATGAGGTAGCTCCAGTGATATTCACATCAAAGTAGGCATGTACAAGCTCATAAAGAAGAGGTTTTGATGCTGCTGTTGCAATGGCCTTCTTCCTTGTTTTGACCTCCCTCCTAGAAGCTGCTGGATTGTCCACTTTGATGGAAGCAAAGAAAGCAACTTGATTTCAATGTCTTTCTGAATGAACACCAGATTTTTACCCACAATTCTTAAGCAAGAAAATTGCATTTCATTATAGGTTTATTCTTTGAAACTCCTTTACTACAAATGTAATATGCTCAAACAACTACCTGCTGTATTCTGAACTGATTCACAGAGTCTTCAAGGGCAAATAATTTCAATAGTCTGTCCTAGAGGTTACCATGACGTATGTCAAAATGGCCAAATAATTACTGTTCAAAATAAGTTACTTCTTATGAATGGGGGAGGGTGTTATTCACTTGAATAGCAGTAGCTAAGACAAAGCCTCTGCCTTTCCCTAACATTGATTCAGTTATATACCAGCTCAGAAGAAATGACTTCTCTCAATATTAAAACAGCACAAATTACAAAAAAAGTACTTTGCCTATTTCAATACAACAGTTATGAATCAGCCTGTTTTGTCTAATATTTCATCTGATGAAATTTATATTTTGCTTCATTTGTGTTTCTTTCACATAAACACATTAATATGAAGGACTGTAGGCCCTTCAATCTGAGAAGTATCTTTGACTTGTATCAGGAAATACATCCCTCAAGAAAAGTAGCTGACATGAATCATCTGCTCCTAGGAATCAGATTTAAAGATGATAGTTGCAAATGTGTGTATTCTGGTGCAGAGTAATATAGATATAGGGATAAGGCTCCATTGATCAGACTGGTTATGCACAGTAAAAGTAATCCAAAAGGTAAAAGTAACTTTGGATCCAAGCTGTTTTTGTAGGAGCTGGAGGGAACAAACGAGCAGGCAGCATTTGCAAAAGTAACAGAGAAAAATGTGGTGCCTGGGGTTAACATCAGAGAGGGGCTTCTTTTTGGTGGGAAGATGGCTTGGGAATGTTTGTAAAGCACAGCTAAATATTCTGTGTCAGTCTCAGCAATATACACTTACTCCAGATGTACCCTGCCAATAGTGGTGTTGCTATGTTGCTACTAAAACCAGAGCTAAGAGACCTCTAAATGTTTGGCCTAGAGAGTGTTCAGGAGGACCGTGGTGGGTGCTTTTCTGTTGCATTGTTTCCTATAGCTGCCTTAGAGAACAAGTTGCAAGTTTCCTCAGTGTGAGACCACTGAGCACCTGGCTACTTCAGAGATCTGTATCACTGTATTCCTACAACAGTAGAAAGTTAGCTGGCCTTCACAATAGTTTTCTCTCTTTATGAGGAAACCTTCCATAGAAGAAGTTATGGGCCCTATTTGTTTGGGATATGTCTGTGGCTGGCACAATAGCTATTGGTGGCTGTTTGTTTTTGAGAGAAACTGGAGAGAAAGCCTACAGTTTTCAGCCCGCCTGAACTGTCCTCTGAGAGAGTTAGTGCTGCCCTACAACAAATCATTGTATATTTTTGTAAGAACCAAGTGAGGACTTTGGTGTAATGAACCCATTGAAGCGCTCAAACAAATGGTCCAACCTAATTAATCTCATAAACAAAAAACATGTGTTAATAACCATTTCCCTAAAAGTAAATGTCATACTACATTACTACAATTAATATTAATTTCAGGAATACAAATGCAGCTCTCAGCCCATTTTTGTTCATTCCTATACAGACTTTCATAATGCTAGTATGACACATTTTCTTCCTTCGGATTGTTCAAGATATAAATGAATGCCGTGCTGAACTCTGCCTCTTGTTCAGGAAAGGTACAATGTGGTACAATGTTTTTGTACCTTTTCAGAGAGATTATAAGATTAAAAAGATTGTCAGAAAGAGAGGTTGCAGGAGGTGGCTGAGAAGGTGTTTCATTTTTCATTGTATACTCTAAAAATGCCCAGTGTATTTGCTTGTGGCATGCACCCAGGCTTTTATCCATACAGCTGGTTCCTTACCATTTCAGAGTTAGAACTATACTGTACCTGCAAGAAGGAAGCAAGCTGTAAGGCGCTCTTACAGGCTCTGTGATCCAAGAGAGCAAGGGAAAAAAAGTTATTTACCATTTCCAGCAAATAAGGAAGTAAAGAGAACTCTTCTCCCCCCCTGTAGACTTTCCAAATCAGTTCTTACCTCACCTCCTTTTATTTCATTCTGTTGAAAAAAAAATAACATGTAGGAAAAATTTAAAAGGGGAATAAACTATTAGGCACAATACTAACGCAAATAGATCTTACGTGAGGTTGAGACCCAGTGCAAAGGCCTCTGTTTTGATAAAACCTTCAGGTACCAGCATTAAAAAAAATCCAGATGTTAGGAGGAAAAAAATCCATCCTGCAACATAATATCTCAGAATTATTTTAAAAGAAGATAGCAATGATCTCGTTTTCTTCTGGTGAGATAATAAAGTGAAAAACAAGGCAAAAGAGAAAAGTGCTTTTAGGAGCAGTAAAGGAGATGGTGGGAGATTCATCTTCAATATGCAGTCTTATTAAACTGAGAATCCAGGAACTGTCAACGCTGCTAACATCGGATGTTTTCGCTTTGACAACAGATGGAAATGTAGCCATCTTTTCTCTTTTGCTTTTAGAATTAGTTGATGCTGGGAGGGGGGATGTGGATGAGAGTCCAGCTAATCATAACAATAATAACTCAGCTGTGGGAATCTAAGGTTATTATGTCCAGAGTTGATAAAGATTTGGTGGGCTGGAGAAAGCCTGCACTTCAAGCTAATTGGGAATGTGATTTATGACTGTTAATTGGAGGAGGGAATTGTGCTTTGCTACTTTGTGCGCAGGGGAGGGGAAATCAGTTTTTGGCTTCAACTATGTAGTGCCGATACTTTGTTTCTCGAATAAAAGATTCTTTAAGGTAAACAATGCCTCAAAGTTCTTTTGAAGAGTTTCATCTGTCAGAATCATGACATTAAGCCAAAAACTTCAATTTTTACCTAACTATCTTGGGGTCCCAAGCCCCAGTTGCTGTCCCTAGAATTGAGGGATAGAC